CCCGTTCAAATTTCTTCACACGGCCCACCTTCTCTGGTCCCTCAGATGTAAGCTGAGAGTCACGCTACGGCCTTAAACACCATCACTGACCCCTACGGCCAAAAGTGACCCCCCAACGGCCACCACTTCTATAAAACGTAACAAGAACATATCTACTTCGACCAACAGATCACCATCGGCCCTTCGGTCTCGACATGATTTTTTTACCAACGGCCTCTAAGTGTCGTCGTCCTTAGGGAACGTACGGCTCCTCAGCCTCGGCGTGACCCTTTACCTCAACACCGGCTTATTAAAGCTGGACGTCTTGAGCTAGCGATTAGGCTCCCCATCCCTTCCAGGATGGGGACCGTCGCCTTTACGACGAACGACCTCTTAGCGCCGTCTTCCTCAGATCATGTACAACCCCTCAGCCCCGGTGTGATCCTTTACCTCAAGACCGACTTCCTCAGTGTCGAACATCTTGAGCTAGCGATCAGACTCTCCATCCCTTCCAGGATGGGGACCATCGCCTTCACAATAAACGACCTCTCAACGCCGTCTTCTTCAGATCATGTACGGCTACTCAGTCTCTATGTGATCCTTCCTCTCAGGACCGGCTCATCAGACGGGCGTCTCCTTAGCATACAGATACCGCTGCAGCTCCACGCCCAGGCCGAAGGAAACACAACCTTTGCTTCATTTTGGGGGCATCCGGTGTGCTCTTTTTTCCTCATTAGGATTTTTTCCCACAAGGTTTTTCCTAATGAGGTTTTAACGAGGCATCGCCCCCATTATGGATCAAAAGGTGTCGACCCTCGGCCCCATGTTGAAGACATGCATTACTCTACTCCTTTTCACCCCATTACACGTGCCTCAAGAATGGGGGGACTATATCGGCCAACCATTGTGATAAACAAATTCTAAAAGCGCAGACCACAATCCATAGGCGTCCTCAACCATTGTGATCCACCGTCGGCCAGGATGACAAGGACACCATAGATGTCCACCTTCGGCAAAAATCAAAAGCGCAAAGCAGGCATCGTCCTCAAAGCCAATGACAATGGTATCTCAACGACCACAATCATGTGGTCACCCTTCGGCAAAACCGAAGCTCGAGGCAGGATGCACATCGTCCTAAAAATCAAGGACACATATCTTCCTCGAAACCAAGGATGCTCCTCGCCCTCAAGGCCAATGCCACGCATCGTCTCCAGGACAATGACATTCATCGTCCACATTATGAACAAAACAAACGCGCCACGAACGTATACACGCGTAAGATCCATCAGCTAAAGTTAAAGGCACAAGGACGTTCATCATCCTCAAAATGAAGGGCATTCGTCGTCCTCAAAATGAAGGACGATCCTCGTCCTCAAAATGAAGGACGCTCATCGTCCTCAAAATTGTTCTTCATCCTCGAAATGAAGGACATTCATCGTCCTCAAAATGAAAGACACTCCTCGTCCTCGAAATGAAGGACGCTCATCGTCCTCAAAATGAAAGACGTTCCTCGTCCTCAAAATGAAGGGCATTCATCGTCCCCGAGATGAAGGCAATACTGGCACCACATACAACTCTAGTCGCAGCCTCGTAGCAAAGCAGACAAACATCGTTATTCCCAAAATTTATGAGTTCATCCAATGCATCATTGTTTGCGTGTTTATGTAAATACATCTGCATATAATTAAATAAATAACTATGTATGTATGTGTGTGTATAGACAGGGGCGGATTGGACCTATGGCCAAGGAGGGTCCATGCCCACGCTCGAATTTTAATTGTTTTTACCTAGTACTAGTATATAGGTTTAAAAATTAGGCCATACTCAAGTTTTTTAAGGTGACAACTCTGGTACCCATTTAAAAATGGGGTACCGTACCTACCACTCACTTGATTGGTTCAAATCATTACATCATTTTTAATTTAGATTTAAATAATTCAACTACATCATTCTTATTGGTTCATGTGAACAAAGGTATGGTACCTTAAGGGTGCCATTACCTTTTAAAAATGTACTCCGCACGAGTCTCTCCCAGCGCTCTAGGCCTCTAGCGAAGCTTAAAATTGGAAATTGGCCCGAAATCAGAAAAACCCAAGTTACTCAACTCCAAGACTGTCGCATCTTTCCGCTTCGGCAAAACCCCCCTAAGGCCAAATCCCAATTTCCAACCTAGCAATCTAGCACGCAGCAACCCTCGCCGATCGTAAGTTGCTACCTTTCTGTTCGCACAACGGTGAGGAGTGTTTTGGTTTCTAGCTTTTTGCTCGAATTGGTCTTCCGTGGTAAACTGAGAGGCGCGAGAGCTGCTCTTTGGTGGTAAGCTGAGGCCTGAGATTTTGAGAACTGGTGGTCTGCTTCCTAAGTCACGGCTAAGAGGTAAGTTTTCAATTCTTTAGTTTTATTGTGCTTTTAATTCAATTTAATTAAAGATTAAATTACACCATGCTAATTATGAATTTGATTATTATTTGTAAACTTGTAATCAACATTTATAAAATTAAGTAGTATGAATTTGGTTGTGATTTATTATTGTTAATATATTATTAAGTTCATTAAATTAGTATTAATGTATTAATTAGTCATCGTGTTATTTTCGATAAATGTAATGAAGAGATATTGAGATACTATGACCCTGTTGAAGTAGGAGTTAGACAAATTTGAAATTTTAAATTCTGATGGTTAAGCATTTGGTTGAAGGAACAAAAAAGACGAGGCCATTGGATGAGAATGAGACGACTCAAGTCTTTGAAAAGCTGTATAAATTTGTGGGCAACAATTTGAAGAATATTGTTGAAAGTCCATCTCACGAGGGGCCTGACCCTTCTCCGGGCCGGCACTGTTTCCGTCTTCAAAAGAATCGGGTCTACTACGTGTCGGAGTCCCTTGTCAAACGGGCTACTAACCTCATTTCGCTGGGGACCCAAATTGGGAAATTCACGAAAGGAGAAAAATTTCACCTGACAAAACACAAAGTATGGCTAAAACCGACGTCGGAGATGAGCTTTCTGTATGGGATAACGGAGAATGTGAATTTGCATGATGGGGTTGTGGTGTTCTCAATGTCCGATGTGCCTCTGGGGTTTGGATTGTAGGAAGCTGGATCCTAATGCTAACGTGGTTTTGCACCAAGCTGATATTGGGGAATACTTGAGGATGGAGGATGAACTTTAAACAGAGACAAATATTAATTGTACGGAGTATCTTTTAATGATTTTTGTTTGGGGACTTCACTTTGCAGTGTAAATCGATTTTGGCAAATGATATTCTGGCTATTATATCTTATTTGCTAAAGAGTGCTTATCAGTGTAACGAAATGTTCTCTTCTTCGCATGGATATCTGCTTGGAGCATGGATATCTTCCCTTAGCAGGGTAGGATATTATTTAAGCAAGAATTAAACTAATCTAAAATTATAATCAAAGAGAGGGTTCGTGCAAAAGATCAATAGAATGAAATCTGAATGATAAGAATTTTATATAATCCGATAGATATTTGTGTATGAATACAATAGCCAAAGTATATTCTGATTAGCCTCTATCCTCCTATTTATTCTAACGCTTTATCCCTTGGACTCCAGCCCAACTGTCCAGCGAATGAGCCCCTCTTCCTACTCATGCAGAGAATGTTATTTGCTCCTATTCTCCCGCACGCAGTTAGGAGTTCGTTTCTACAACTTATCTTTCCACGTTTGCTAGGCCTTATCCGCTCAGTCTGCTTCTTTGTTTAACTAGGCTTCGGTTCTATCTTCGATTCTTTGGGCTTTATCATTTATCTTTTATCAGAAATGGGCTGAACCGCTACTGTATCTCCACGCCCCAACAATTGCCTCCAATTCAAAGAAGAGGAGGGCGCCAATCTTGAAAAAATAAAGAGCCAGCCGATTCTTTGAATTTTTTTATCATGACATTGCCTCGGAATGTGTAAGGCCGTCAGCCGTTCGGTATCAATCAATCACTACTCTCTTCTTCCCTTAGTGCATTAGTTCAGCAAGAAAAACTTCCTCTCCTCTCCTTTCGATTTCTTGCAAATTCAGCCATCACCTTGGTTCTTCATGGCTTCACAGCCCTTCATTCCGCACACATTTTAGATCCAAAGAACTCAAAGCAAGCGAAACTTTCAGAATATCATGTCGACTTTATCAGGTCATCCATCGGCTTTCCCCATGATGTGGTTATTCGTTTTCCAATAGCGAACGAGAGGATAGATTGGTTCTGTGATGGTTGGGTAAACTTCTTGATGTACCCTTTCAAGATAGGTATGAAATTCCCATTCTCACGTCTAGTCTGAGACTTTCTTGCTTTTGTCAGAGTATCGCCTTCCCAAATCATGCCCCAAGTATGGAGGGTACTCAGAGCTTTAGAGGTCTTGAGTGAGAAACATAGTTTGGCCCTAGATTTTGAAGACTTGGGTTTCACCTACGACCTCAGATCTTCAGGAGCCGGTCGCTTTACCTTAGCAGTGAAGGAAGGAAAAGAGGCCCTCATTCATAAGGTGGACAAAGCTAATGACCGGGGATGGATGAACTTGTACTTTTTTGTAAATAAAGAGTCGTTAGGTGCTGACGGATCATTCCTGGAAGAGAATTTACACAAAGGTTAGTTTCTCTTTCGAATCGCGTTTCTTGACTTGCTCGGTTGATTTCCGTCTCCTATTTTTGTTATCTGATTTGCAACTTCGGGTATAGGTAATGGAACCGGGTAATTTCAGAATGTTTTCTGCGTTCTCGGATATATGTATAAAACTTGATGTATTTGGCATTGTTTCTCTGTGACGTGCAGAGAGGAAGACTATTCCACTGGTTCCCGGTCCGCATTCTGAAGAGAGAAATGCCAGGATTCTTTCGTTCTCTATTGAGGATCGAACTTACGTGAACCTGGTGTCAGACTTTCAAGGTACGTCGCCTCTTCCTGTTGAGTCTGATTATGTGGGGTTAAGGCGGTCTCGTAGGCACACCCCTACCGCACACGATTTGAATCAGAATTCACATGTCGTTTCCGTAGAAGATTCAGGGAAAGGATCTGAAGTTTCCAAAGATGATGACGAGGGTATGAGCGCTTTCGTCCCTTTACAAGTTGTTTTTCCGATTGTTAAGAATACTCCCGTGCCCCCACTCAAGGATTCTACTCCTATTGCAGGTATTATCTGAGGTTTATGCTCTTCTTTATTAGTGCTGGATTGATTATCCCTAACTTCTATTCCTCTTTATTTGCGTAGCTACTTCATCAAGAACTTCTCGTTCCGTCCCTTCTGACCACGAGTTGTTGGCTATGGCATCGAGGAGGAAAAGGATGCCTTCTAAATTGTCAGCAAATCCTCCAAAGGTTCCCAAGTACCCGACGCCTGATACTGCCACAGACCCTAATGCCCCCCATGAGGAACATGGGGTTGATACCTGGGCGAAGCCACCACAAGTTATGCACTTATCACTTTCCCCGGAATTCTGTGAATTGAAGGACGCTTTGACCATGAAGGACGAAATGGATCAATTTCAATTGGCCTCCTCTGCTCCCTTTTTTGACTGCTTGCCCCCTACCAGTGTTATTGCTGCTTCCTCCGCTTATGCGTTTCAAGTGCTGATGAATCACTACGCTTAGTGAGCTTCCTTCCTTTTACTCTTGACTAACTTGTCTTGTCTTTTTCAGAGTGTTCAGGCGAGCCTTGTTGCTGCTGCTCGTGTCTCTTTATTAGCGAGAACCGTTGATGAAATGAAACAGAAGGAGATTTCCCTAGCATCTTCACTTGATAAGAGTGCAAAGTTAGTTCGAGAACTGGAAGACAAAAGCTCTACTGAATCTGCCCAGATACTGCAGCTCAACGCAAGAGTCAAATCCTTGGAAGCTTATGGTCGAAAAAAGAAACAAGAAGTAATTGACGCTGCCTGCTATTATGTCTGGAAGACCAGGGGTGAGTTGATGACATCTTTTATTAAAGGAGAAATGACACACTGGTCAGCGGAACGGGACGTAGCTACATGGCATAAACTGAGGGAAGAGATGGATCCTCCTGTAGGAGAAGACGGCTTCGAGGTGGGTCATTCTGACGATGAGATTGATCCTTAGTGTTTACCGGTCAGATGATCATGCATACCCCTTTTTTGTAAGTCTGCTGGATTACAAACATTCCCTGCTTTTGAACTACTCTGACACTTTTCGACTTGCGTTAAGGGTTCTCGGTGGTTTATCCGGGACTTAACGCCTTATTGCGCTACTCATGGGCTTCACTCTTGGCGGTTCAGCCTAGCCCTATCCACACCATTATGTGAATCTGTCACTGTTTTTGCTATTGCTTGGATCATACTTTTGTTTATGCGTATTCTGTTGTGAATGCATGCCTGCTGTTTATGTGTGCAACATGTCATGCTGTGTCATAAATGTGTGAGTGTTTCGGCCAAAACGTATTTGGTTTCATGGAACTTCATTTATGGTTTTTTCATAATGAGTCCCATGTCCTCTGTATGCTGATGTTTTGTCATAAGCAGATCTGACGTTGTATCTGTTGTTCTGGTACTCGGTCACCTGGTACTTCGATCTTAACCTGTCATAGTCCTGCGATGATACTGTACCGTTGGGATCGGCCGTTGGCTTGGGGCCAACGGCCCTCCGACGGTTAAGTTAGTGAACGGCGAATTGTTTTTACCATATCCAAGATTACGTGAACTGTAACTAATTACCTGTGATTTGACCATTTTTGTTTGCCTTCCTGTATTTACAATCATTGTCAGGGTTGGTCGTTGGCCTTAAGCCAACGGCCCTCCGACGGTTAAGTTAGCTATTTCATTTAGTAATAGGGATAGAAATCCAGAAAAGAAAAGGAACTTTAATTTAAAATGAAAACGTTTTAAATGTACCGCATTCCAACTTCGAGGGACTCGTTTACCATCGATTGATTCTAAACGGTATGCTCCCTGACCAATGACGTCAATGATTTTGTAAGGTCCTTCCTGTAACACCCCCAAATTTCCCACCCAAAACGTTGATATAATTGAAATAAAACTTTTATTTATTGATAATGAAAATTTAAAGAAAGTACAGCGGAAGTCTTAATAAGGGAAATGGGTGTTACCGCCACATCCGGTCATCTCTCAACCGGATGCACAAGCAACTAAAACATAACAACTAATTTAATAAAAATAAAGTGTTTGTAAAGTAAATGTTTATTTCATGACTAGTATAACTAAGGCGACTTCTAATTCGCTCTCGGCCATGCAAGCAATCATCAATCGACAAAATCATCCTCACCTGCACAAATAAAGTGCAAAAACAAAACAAAGAAAAGAAAACAAAAATTAGCTTTAGAGCTAAGTAAGTACTACCCAACCCCGTAAAATAATCATGTTTGACTAAAATAGATCTTTATATAATAATATATAAAAATACTCACACCATCGAAATTCTTTTCACTTTGATTTTTCTCAAAACTACTTCTTTACAAAAATCCTCAACTTCTCTTTAAAACTTCATAATAACTCTTCTCCTTGATTTCCTCAAAAATCAATTCTTCTCTAACTTCCTAGTAATTTAGAAGGGCGGTGCTCAACCTTTCGGTAGAGCCCGGTGGACCGTGGTTACGGACGGCCACCCCGAACAAGTGCCGGTACCACAACTGCTCTATTGGAAACGAAACGACTACCTTAAGTGTGCACACCCCCTAAAAGGGATTCCAACTGCTCTAGTAAGTCGTAACGAGTAGTCGGGACTCAGTCTACCAACTACCCCTGAATAAGATATCTTGAATGATTAGGGACTACTACTACCATAACTTCTTCTTAAAAGGGATCATCGATCCAAATAGCACTTTAAACTCAAACTGTACTTCTTAGTAGTAGCAGACCTAATCACCCTCCACATTTATCCGGACGTGGAAAACCGACACCACGGATTTCTCCCGTGATGCTCACCTCTTATGAAATCATTCTTTTATCTTGAATTAATATACTTCAAAATATTTCTCAACTTCTCAAACTACTTTAAAAATATTTAGATAAAATATTTACCCCCAAAAGCACTTAGTTTCACGAATCATCTCAGAATCACATTCATAATAGTCATACTTCACACTTAAAAATCACGTATCACATAATACATATATAATACGAGGAAACGATTTTTGGATTGGCAGAGAAACTTACCTCAAATCACGATAACTCCTAACCGAAACTTCTATTTCGATCTTCTCCAAAAATCACCTTCTAAGAATATTACAATTTCTAATATCAACATATTATCAAAATTATAGGTTAATTCCTCTACCCTTTCATTATAGATATAATAGTTCATAATTTAGTCCATTATTTACGTCATCCATTATTATTATTATACTTATTATTATTATTAATATTATTATTATTATTACTATAATTAATAATATTTGTTCTACAGTTCAGCCCGGTCCAACTAACTAAGTTGTTTTAAAAAAAGAAATCCAGCCCATTCTTAAATAAAAGAAGAGGAGCAGCGTAAATAGAAGAAGAGGAGCATTACTGTAGATCGTCGGCTTCGTTGGCTAGCAGGTTCGCAGGGACCTGATGTTGCTTCTCCGACGGCGGCAGGTCGTTCCATGGCGATGTGGTAAGCCGGCGGTACGGACGTACGGTTCTCCTTCTCCGGCGCATCACTCCGTCTTCTCTAGCGTGAGATTGACGCCGAAGTACGTAGGGTAGTTCTAGCTTTGCCTGCGGTGGTACTTACTTCTGGTGGAGAAGGCGAAACGGCGAGAGAAGACGTCCTTCTCCTCTGGATACCGCAGCTCCGGTGGCGTCCAATGCACAAACAGAGAAGTTCCTCCTCCCTCCGGCACCTCTGCAACCGCACTCCGGCAGTTTTCTTCTCTTGGCGGTGGCGATGGTTTTAATCCTCTTCTCCGCCACTCAGGTGGGTGTTCATCTGCCAATGCCAGGCTCGTTCTCGGACAAAAACACGAGGTTACGCTGATATGCAACTCCCTTAATTCGTTCTCTCTTCTCCGGCAATATCACGGCGGTCCTTTTCGCTTCCTTTCACGACAAATTTTCATTTCTATTTTTCTTTCTCACAGAACTCTCTTTCTCACGTGAATTATGTTTCATTTCTTTTATTCCCCCCTTCGGTCAGTTGCAGGTAACACATGTATATATGGCCGTTAGTTTACACCTCGGTTTAATGGCTTTTGAATACACACTTATTAGCTTGTACGGAGTATTTCGTATGTCCGTTTGTTGCTCTCGGGCACTAAAATTACTCTCTTCGTTGCTGCAGTTATTATTTCACACAAGGCATGTTAAGTATTCCGTATGTAATAATTAAGTTACGTGTATGTATCATGTATACTAAATAAGTACCATGTATGTTACCTGTAGGTGCATGTGGATGATGTATGTATGGTGTATGTATGATGTTATGTGAGTAATCATGTAATATAGATATGTACATATGTGTATTATTATGAGTATGGATGTGAGGCCCATGTGATGTATATATCATAATTTATGTATGACATGTATGTATGGCATCCATAATATAAATGGTTGGTCCGTTTGGGTACTGCTACACTTATTTTAATATAATAAGTATTAATGCATGCGTTATATACATATGGGTACTACGTAATAGTTCAATGTACATTTTTTTTTCCAATTTGGATTATAGTGGTGTACTTAAATCTACTCTTTTTGGTTTAAATAATGTTGTTATTACTCTGTATTATTTTATGTAGCATTTGACGTTGGATATTGACCATGTCATATTTTTTTTTTTGTTTATCCCCTTGATTGTATCTCATTTAGTTTACTGTATTTTATTTCATTATTATATTTCTCTTTTAAATTTTTAGGGTGTCACACTTCCCAATTAGGACTAAATTTCCCGGCTGCTTCGTTGCCAAACGCTCTCCTCAAGACCCAATCTCCCCTTTTGAACACCTTTGCCCGGACATTTTTATTATAGCTTCTCGCAACCATTTGTTGATATGTCAGCAAGCGGATCTTGGCTCGTTCCCGGATCTCGTCAATGGTATCCAAGTCGTGCGCCAACTCCACATTGTTCAATTCCTCAGTCATGAGTCCATATCTTGAAGAAGGTACTTCAATCTTAGCAGGAATGACCGCTTCGCAGCCATACACCAAAGAAAATGGGGTCTGTCCGGTTGCATTTTTCGGAGTTGTCCTGTCTGCCCAGAGTATCAAGGGTAATTCGTCAGCCCACCGGCCTTGCGCCTTTTCAAGCCTCTTCTTTAAGTTGGCAATGATAATTTTGTTGCTAGACTCGGCCTGCCCGTTAGATTGCGGGTACCTAGGTGTCGATGTTTCCAATTTGATATTGTAATTCTCACAAAAACGTCTGGTCTTAGTGCTTATAAACTGAGATCCGTTGTCACAAACGATTTCTGAAGGAACGCCGAATCTGCAAAGGATGTTTCTCTTAATAAACGAAATTACCTGGTCATCCCGTATCTGACGAAAAGGCTCAGCCTCCACCCATTT